GGATGGATGGATGGATGGATGGATGGATGGATGGATGGATGGATGGATGGATGGATGGATGGATGGATGGATGGATGGATGGATGGATGGATGTATGTATGTATGTATGTATGTATGTATGTATGTATGTATGTATGTATGTATGTAAGTATATGTATTTTTATCTCTCTCTATATATATATATATATATATATACATGTATAGATGTATGTATGTGTAAATATATGTTCTGATGCTATATATAGATGTGACGTGAAGGGTTGACTGATTGACAGAATTGGGGAAGTCCCTAGAGCGAGACATGAGTTATATGTGGCGATGGGGAAAACACGAGATTGTTGAATCTAACTGTGGTTTCAGCTAAAGGTAATAGATATATCTTAACAATAATTGATCTTGCCAATCGTTGGCCACTTAAGACCATTTTTGTGTGTCAAAACGTTTTACTACAGATTTTTGGGAGAATTTGATTTCCGTGAGTGGTTATATCAGATCGAAGGACACAATTCACCCCAGTAGTTCAAGGGCGATTATCTAGTTGTTACAAATCGTAAGGAAAATTCTTGGCCGGGCAACATACGAACATCCGTCAACATAAGATACCTTATTCTCTGCAATCTTGTTCGCCTATAGGAAAGTCCCACACAAGAGTTCCATTATACTGTGGTAGCTATACATCAGAGTAGCTGCAGATGAAGCTTTGAATGCAGTTAAGGGCAAGAGGAAGAAAAGGGGGAAATCGTGGTTGGCTCAAACCGAAGACACGATAAGACATGTATGCATGCTGAAGAACATTGGGAGAGGAAAAGAGTGGGTTAGAGTACCAGAGGAAAAGTCTGATAATGTAGGGTCATGATCACATTAGGCAGGGAATACAGTTTGTAGCTAACGGGGGTTACTGAGGTGGAACTCCAACTTTTGATTCACGACATTTCTCGTCCAGATGATTTGAATTTCTGTACAGATGTTTCTGTATTGAGAGGGAAGAGAAGTACCAGGGCTTTCTTAGCGAAAGCCAGGGACAAATCTTTAGTACAGAATTCATACCATATGATACCACGACATCTAGCACGAGAATGGAGGGAATGGGGTCATGTCAGCTTGCCGGTGGCTAGACTGCAAGATACATATAAATGTCGTAACTATAACAGACTCAGAAATTACGCTGAAAAAGGTGAAGACAGGATTGCTTCGAGCAGAGTAGCAGGCTTCACTTTTTTTCAAGTCTTTGACATTTCTGATAACATTCATTCCTATCCATTTGTTACAATTAGTAAGATTACCTTTCTATGGAATTGCAACAAGTATTATTTAATTCTTCTACTGATCTGGAATTTTCTTCAGCCCATATTATATTTCACAAACCCTTCACTCGGTTCATGGTTACATCATTTGCTGCCTTTTGTATTTCTTAGAATATAGCTATGCAGTTTATGTAAATCAAGAAGAAAGGGGCGATGTTGTACTTTCCTGTTGCTCTTCCATCGTAATCTCCATGACCTGTGTATTTTACCCCTGGCAGATTGTTGTTACATAAAGTATTAGGTTAGTTGCGTATCCTTTACAGGACGTTGCAGAACCAACCCCAGCAGCCTCTGGCTGTTGTGTGGTTTCACTAGGCAAATTTAGGTAATTGCGCTGGACTGTCAGTCCCTGATACCACTGTCGAAACCAACGCAAGACGCATGGCCTGCAGCTGGGATCAAACCTGGCAAACCGGCATTACAAAGCGTTCGCATCGACTTAGCCACTGAGCCGACTACATGAAGTATATGAGAGGTTAAAAAGTTTATGAATGTTACATTTGTGGCTATGTTTTAGTTCTATAATTGGCTCCTTTACAACTACTCTGTAAGAGTGTTGATGTGATTGATTTGATTTGATTCAAGAACCGACATCACAGCACTCGAGGCATTCCCATAAGCGCTCCGTCCCCATCTTCAGCAGCCAGCGAAGAGTTCCGATGCCAATGGTGCCAGTAGCATTCTGATTAGAAGTCCGTCTTGCCTTTCCTCTGAGCCTGGAGCATCTGCCAGAACCTCTCGTCACTCCCAACTGCATCAATCTCACCAGACTGTGGTGATCAGTCTGCTCATCTGCACTGTACACGATCTCCCACAAGGCACTAACCACGTCTGCTTTATCATGCATCAGTACTTTACCAAGCTGTGCAGAGCCAGCCAGTCTTTCCGCCTGTAAGAGTTTTGAGAACGAACTGAGAGACTACTAGCCTAAGAAAACAAATGATTAAAGGCACCTTAGTCATATGTCTGAAGGACTTTAAACGTAGCCCTTGAAAATAAAAAAATTAAAAATTAAATAAACTAACGCTATCATGTGTTGGCTTTCTAAATTTTTTAAAAATTGTACTAGTCAATTTCATTTCCAGTAGTTTGCCATGCTTATGAACTGTCGGCTCTCCATGTTATGAGAAGAGGGGAAATGGAACATATTGTGGCTGCTGAAAAGATCTGTGGAAGGAGCGACAGAGAAAGACAATGAGCGAAGATTCTTGACAGTCTTGTTGCAATGGCATGGAAGTGTGTCAGCACACGAACTGATACATGCTGCAGGAGATCGCAGATTGTGAAGAGGCATGATCGCCCTCGCCAGTCGGCAAGGCACTTGATAATGATGATAAGGGAAGTATGATGTGCTTTGCTTACGCCTAAGCCACAGACGCTAATTGGGAAACACAGTCAAGGAAATACGACCCAGTGTGTGATGCATTTTTTTTTCAAACCCCCACCATTCCCTCCCAGCTGTCGTCGGGGGCCCTAAATATAACCTACAGTTTTTCTGTGACTTGCGCCCAAATGACTATCATCCGAATGGTGGCGCTTTATGTCATCAAGTGTTTAACGCTTGTTGTGTGGTCATGGTGAGGTTAAAATTCAATCTGTCAGTCAGTCAGTCAAGCATCGTAATGCTGGTCCTGTGCAAAAAGCACCTCACATAGGCAAGCTTCGTGAACGTCGGAAAGCAGTGAAAGACTTAGACGTACCAACCGGAAAGTACTGCCATAACTATGATGCAGAAACTCAAGCTTTCAAGATAGCAACAGAGAAACTGCTAAATACCAATCTTGGCTCACAGTATGTGGTAATGCTGACAGATGCTAAATCCGTACTTGAAGCACTCCAGTCTAGGAAACTACCAGAATTGCAAACACTGCTGACACAACTCAGCGTTCAGCGAAGAGTCGTAATGCAGTGGATACCGTCTTTTTGTGGAGTGCCTGGACATGAGAAAGCAGATCAACTGGCAGGGCAAGGTGCGACAAAAGTGCAGCCGGATGAACCAGTCACATACCACCAAAAGAAAAGAATTATTACATCGATCAGGAAACCACCAGTCTCAGCACAAGACGACTATTTTATTATGGACAGACCAGAACAAGTCATTATCTTCCGCCTCAGAACAGGGCACAACCGATTACGTAACCACATGTACACAAAATTCAAGATAGGTGTATCAGCCATGTGCACCTGCGGAAAGGTGCCCCAGACAGCAGAGCATGTACTCCAGGACTACACAGAATTTGACACATTAAGGCAAGCATTTTGGCCAGAAAGAACAACAGTGGAACGTAAACACTATGGACCACTGAATGAACCAACAACGACAGTGAAATTTGTACAAGAGACAAAACTGCTGATATAGACAACTTATTTCAGGCGAACGAAAGAAGAAAAAAAAGAAGTGAAAGACTGCATATAATAGTCTGCTATGTGTCTGTGTAAGGACCGTAATATTTGTGAAGGTAACGGACGATCAATTGTAGGAACCACACCATGCCTGCAATACATAAAGAAGCAACAAATAGAGTGGTTTGGCCACTTGATGCTAATGCAAACCGACCAACTGCCGCTACGAGCATACAACGAACAGCACTACTGCCCTAGAGCAAGAGGCAGACCGAGAGTACTATGGATAGACAATATATCAGAGATCCTGAGGCAACACGGACTAACAACAACCCGTGCAACACACCTGATCCAGGATAGAAAACTGCGACTCCCCACTACGCTGTGAGGCAATTGTGGACAAGACAAGACAAGACAACGGACGCTTTACACGTCACTGACGCATTTGTATCGAATGAGTAAACACAAAGGACCCTTTCCTTGTCTTCAGGTGACATACACAGCTAGACCTATATGTTATAGATCAATAGGCAGTTAGTGGATGAGGTGGTCAGCGTCACACTAGTGGCCTTTACCTCCTAGGACTTTACTAGGGAAAGATATATGTAGAGATAAATGAGCGCCTACTTCCTTATGCAGGGCAGGTACTGATGATTAAAATAGAATTCAACGTATTCTCTAAGGTTATTTAATGTTATAGCATATTGATAAAAATAGGAAATTACAAGATCTATTAACAAATAAAGTTATGTTCATTAAAAAAACAATGAATTGAATGCTTTGATTATTAAAAAGCATGAGGCCAAAGATGCTGTCAACGAGTGCGTACAACGTGAAAGTAGAAACACCAATTGGTAAAAAACAAACACTGATATACCCTGGGACTCCACAATATTACGGCATACGGGGTAACCGAGCGTACCCTAGCTCGAATACAAATTATATGTTAACCTGCTCCGCATAGCAGCACAAGACAGAGTATGGACAACAATTAAAACATGTTGCGTATCCCTTACAGGACGTTACAGAACCAACCCTAACAGCCCCTGGCTGTTGTGTGGTTTCTCTAGGCAAATTTACGTCCAGTAGTTTGCCATTGCCAACTGGACGGTCGGCTTTCTTGATACACTGTCGAAACCAACGCAAGGCGCATTGCCCGCAGCTGGGATCGATCCCGGCATCCCGGCATTACGAAGCGAAGTAAAACATGTATAATAAGGAAAAAAACGAAACAATATGACCACTATTATAAGCTAACCATTATATAAAGTGTTTAGGTTTCTTTTTTTTTTTATTTTAAATGAAAGCACATGAACACCAATCGTGTGTTTCTCTGACATAAATGGATCATTTCTACAACCTGAAGAGAGATCTAAATGTAGATCTATATTTTGAGCTCATCTTTAGATACAAGAAAATATTCACACTTGAGTTGACATTTTCAAACACAACGGCAAACGTCCAAAAAAGCTGGTAAGTCTGGAAATATTTGCCTCCAACACTAAACTCTGGTTCAATGACAGTTAACACACATAATACTGCAGAAGGTGTATAACATATAATTAATATAATAGCAATTAGAGCCACCATTGATAATGTTTCTTTGTCTCTTTTGGACAAAGATTCTGACTGCTTTCCTTGAATTGTAGATGCATGACGCCAGACAGATGCTTTACGAAGTTTGAGAATTAAGATTGTGGTAAAGACAACAACACATAAAACTGACGATACAGCGAAAAAGGCGTTGGTAAAGTAAATCGATTTTTCTACATCCTCTTTTAGAAATGTAAAACCTGCACTCAAAAATGACCGGTTTCTATCGGGATAGAATCTCCATTCAAGGTAGAAGGCATTGTATAATGGAACCCATGACATCAGCGTTAGAGTGTAAATACCCAGAATTATTACAATTGTCCGTTTGATCGTGATTATTTTGTTAATTGCCAATGGGAAAACAACACACAAACATCTCTCGGCTGTGATGAAGACAGTGAGGGAACAGGTCACGCGAGAGAATGTTTCGTGAGGGACAATTGCCGTCAAGTGCTGAAATTCTGTGTTCATCACTGGAAGGTCAAAATACTGGAATAGCACTATCACCAGCTGCCATTGCTGTGATATCAAACATAACAGATCAGAAACAGCAATGGCGAAGAAAGTAATATTGATGGTCAGATTCAAACCGTGCCTGTAAAACACAGTTAAATTTATAATATTAGCGAATATCCCTAAAAAACTGACTGGACCACTTAAGTATATAATATTAATAGATTCTATTATGTCTTGATACTTCCATTTGGCGTCTGAAAAATCATTGTTCGTAAAAGACGTATTCATAAAGGTGTTTAATTTTTCGTACAACATGTCTAATTCGGAGACTGCTGCCATATTATCCATAAATTCACGGACTTTTTAAACACTTTCATAAGAAAGGGACGGTATTTTATGCTCAGACTAAGTTCAGGGCACACGAGACTTTACCAGCATATGCTAAAATATTTTACTGTATGAAACGTAGAGATGTTAATCATGCACTGTACCACTGTATACTAAATGCCACCGACACAAAAGCTAATCTACCTTGTCCAATTTTAATCAAGACAAAGTGGCATGGTGCTCGGTGGTATCTGGACGGAACGATGTCTTTTATCCAGGTTGTTTGCTTATGATATCAACTTTCTGATAGAATGACGAGCGACAAAATCATAATAGCAAAATTCAAAACTAGGTGAGATAAAGAAATGAAACGTCACCACAAAAATAGCAGACAGGACAGAGAACAGCAATATCTTCTGTCCCTTAGCTAAAAGTGTTCACAGTAAAATGATTGATTGATTGATTCATGATGGGATAAGAATTATTTTTTATGATGTATTGATGCTATGATGGTGCTTTTAGCACTACTACTGTTCTTCAAAACGTGTTGCTTTTTGGAGTGATCGACGTATTTACACGTCTCACTCCCAGTAATATATGCTGATGGCTTCAGAATCGGTTATGATAATGAATAATCATTTGTAGTGAGAAATATTACGATACATTTATTTTCTTCTTAAATTATCGCGGTGTACCCGTTTAGTCTTGAAGGAGTTAGTAGGTCATCTCAGTTATTACATAACATTCTCACAGACATATAGATTCGAATTACAGCCACCTAGTCTAGTGACAGGCGAGATAGCTCCGGTGGTCCTCTCTAAAAGTATGCTCAGTTTACTAGGTATAATGTAATCATTCAGGCGTCAATGTATATCCTTATCTCAAAGCATCTCTTTTTTACTGGTCTTTGGGGGAAAGTACCTGTGTCCGCTCTGAAAAAAAAATGAAAAAGCATAAATAAATTGGTTTGTATGTATTCCAACAAAACTTCTTTTGTACATACAGAAAACGACAATTAAAGCAGCTAAAAAGAACTTAGGTTTAATGTTTTTTTTTAATCGCTCTATAATATTGGAGGGCAATGTTCAGATTGTTAACATATTGGTTTGCTTAGGTAATTTCATTCAGGTTCACTAAATCACGCGGTCGCTGTTTGCTGTGTTCCTATAAAGAACATGAGTTTTGTGTGGTGTTTAGAATGGTAATATTACACCTAATACAGACTAACTGTACGAAGAGGAACGGACATTAGGACTTATCGATGCTGACAATATTGCTGGAAAAATAGCAAGGAGAAAATTACCTAAATGTTTTGGCTATATGTATCTGGCTATACAATAGCATAGACCTGATTCGTGTTTCTAGTGATCTTACGGGATGTTGAAACATGGCCAACTTCGCCTGGCGATAGGGTAACTGACTGTGTTGATATGATTCATTATTGTATTATTATTACTATTATGATGATAGAATAATTTAATGGATATCAGATTTAGTTATACTATTCGTTAGTATCCTATTTTGTCATTTTTATGTCCGAAATTTGAGCTGCTGTATGACAATAGGTATACACGTTCTTGATTAAACATGTTTTCTTCAGTCTATCCCTCTGAGGTTTTTCAGTCTGCTGTGTGTGGATTTTTTTTTTCAAGTGGTCGTATTTGTAGAGTTTGCTTATGATGCTTTGTGCTCATCTTGTTATCCATAGTACGGAGACCAATAGGAATAAACTCACAGGGAGCAAGTACAGCAGGGATCTACCAGTCGTCAGTAGAAATTATCATCGATCGACACGCGTTTCGGCCCACGATTCCTAGACGCATTCGGAGGTGGGCCCTCCTGAGTTCATGAAGCTCAGGGCTGGTTCCCTGCTGCACGGAATTACCGGATGGTGTTTTTCTTTCGGCCAGAGACAAGACGACTTGGTGGTTTTGCAGAAGGTACTGTGAGATAAGAAGCCGCCGCGGCAGCCTAATTAAAGCAGTCAGCAATAAATATCCCCATGCCTTCTATTGGCGTGGGCCGCACATCCTCTGAAATAGTGGCGGCTGGCATAGTATTCAGATGATAGTGGATGGCCAAAGACAGTGGCATGGAGGAATATCATCGATGGAATAAATCCAGAACACCAAAGACCGAGATCTGTGGTGACGCATCAACGCCAAGCCAGCTGTCAAATTACTGGATGATGATGGTGATGATATTATTGCGATCTGCAATAAAGATAGAAAGGCTGGCCAGATAAACAATAGAATTGTGATCTTAGAGAAGAATCCTATCAGTGTTGGAGAACTATAATGGAAAAGTATAGACTGTAAGGTCAACCGTTTTTCAATATATCAGAAACATTCCTAGTAAAGTAAAGGACCCAGTTCCACACCTTGAAGCGCATTCGGCATATAGGGCTAGAGATATATATTATTAACCAGTTGGCACTCAGAGATTATAGTGATTAACATCATGCCGCTCACCTTTACTTCCCATGACTTTACCTTGTACCCATTTAAGGCTAGGTCGACCCAGAAGCCAAGGTAAGCTGTAAAACCCCAATGTAGCTAGGTGCCTTGCTGCAAAACAGAAATAAATCGCTATGTTCAACCAGCATCCTCGAAAGGGAAAGCTTTGGGTTATAATTGTGTCTAGGTAATGTGTGCCATATAGAATGGCTTAGCATTGCCCGCCACCAGGAGCCCTGAAAAGGACTCCTGCGTTGTGAATGTGATCACATGAGACAGACACAAAAACTGTTCCAATCGGCGCGATGACGTTTACAGGCGAGCCAGTGAACGACCCGGTCGCCGTTATGTGATTTTAAAAACGTAATCGTGGTTTAATTTTTTTTTTTGTTCTGTGAGTGTGGTGTACTTTGTTGCATATTTTTAGTAACCTGCAAACTGCTACCTATGCTTAAGTGACATGACTGTTCTTAAAAAAATACTACTAAACGTTCAATTATTAGCATTCAAACATAATTCTTGTGTTGATTTTTTTTTTATTTTTTTTTTTTATTTTTCACGTTATCCATTAGGTGTTGTTAACTTTTAACATATAACATGTCAACACGATAATAATGGGATGATCTATCTGTTTAAAGTGTTTTGACATTTTTTAACGTTTAATGGGTAACGTTACTCACAGGTCACAATAAAATTACACTATAACTTTTTTTTAAACAACACAGTTTGCAAAGATGTTAGAAGAGACATTATCAGATAATAATATGAAGTTATCTTCACAGACACATATATGATTGCAGAAATGTAAAAATCTTTACTCGTTTCGCATTTCTCGTAGTGACGTATGAGTTGTGATGTACACCGGAGGCAATGCTGTCAGATTAATTATTTAATATGTAAATATCTAAATGCCTAGCACGCGAATGATACCTAAGCTACAAAGATATGAGATCGATAAAATCAGAATTATGTGCAGTGTAAAATTTGTTAATTTATTAAAAAGCTGCAGACAATTTTAAATAATGTCATAACCCCAACACAATTTGGAAAATACAGATGCTCTTATCGATCAATACTAGATTTCAGTCAAAATTCACATTCAAATATAATGTACAATAGGCTGTGTTATCTCAAGTCAACTTCTTTACAACGCTTGCATACTCTTCTTCTTCTTCTTCTTCTTCTTCTTCTTCTTCTTCTTCTTCTTCTTCTTCTTCTTCTTCTTCTTCTTCTTCTTCTTCTTCTTCTTCTTCTTCTTCTTCTTCTTCTTCTTCTTCTTCTTCTCTTCTTCTTCTTCTTCTTCTTCTTCTTCTTCTTCTTCTTCTTCTTCTTCTTCTTCTTCTTCTTCTTCTTCTTCTTCTTCTTCTTCTTCTTCTTCTTCTTCTTCTTCTTCTTCTTCTTCTTCTTCTTCTTCTTCTTCTTCTTCTTCTTCTTCTGTTTCACCAGCTGTATACTCTGGTGGAAAATTATGATTATTCGTCCACTTCTGGAATTTGGTCTTGATCTAAAACTTGAATTTAGTGTGCACATCCATTAAAAGAAGTAGCGTATTAGTTGTATCTATAATGTTGATTCTTTGTCTCTCGAAATTAAGTTGTTTCCAGTAGCATTTTCTTGCTCATATCAATATTTGTAGTACAGCTGCGTCAGAAATGTTCTTCTTCTTAACATAACGACTTGTGACAAATATTAAACGCCTCGATTAAAGTCTATGAGTTTATTTATGTTGCTAATTAGTGACTTCAGTTGTGTTAGCGTATGTATATATAATAGAAACTCTGCCACGGAAGCATAAATACACAGCACGATTCTATCGATAGGCAATATGTGTCCCCCTTTCAACAACTGTTTCGGCCCGTTATGATAGTAGCTATCGAGATAGTAGCCTA